CTTTTGTCGATCCTTCCCGATTCCCTACACCGCGTATAAATCTCTTTTCGCTTTCGTACAGATGCTGCTATTTTTGCGAATTTACAATAATCTGTAATTACCAGATTACTATTCCGTAAAAAAGAGCTGAATTCTAGTATATTATTTATTCAAAGATATTTGGAATATATATAAAAAATTGTGTTTCATCAAGCTTTTTTCTGAAGCGCGACATTAATATATTAAACAAAAACGAGAGATGTTATGTTTTGTCGATTCTTCCCGATTCCCTACATCGCGTATAAATCTCTTTTCATTCTCGTACAGATGCTGCTATTTTGGCGAATTTACAATAATCTGTAATTATCAGATTACTATTCCGTAAAAAAGAGCTGAATTCTAATATATTATTTATTCAAAGATATTTGAAATATATATAAAAAATTGTGTTTCATCAAGCTTTTTTCTGAAGCGCGACATTAGTATATTAAATAAAAACGATGTTATGTTTTGTCGATTCTTCCCGATTCCCTGCATCGCGTATAAATCTCTTTTCGCTTTCGTACAGATGCTGCTATTTTTGCGAATTTACAATAATCTGTAATTACCAGATTACTATTCCGTAAAAAAGAGCTGAATTCTAGTATATTATTTATTCAAAGATATTTGGAATATATATAAAAAATTGTGTTTCATCAAGCTTTTTTCTGAAGCGCGACATTAATATATTAAACAAAAACGAGAGATGTTATGTTTTGTCGATTCTTCCCGATTCCCTACATCGCGTATAAATCTCTTTTTGCTTTCGTACAGATGCTGCTATTTTTGCGAATTTACAATAATCTGTAATTACCAGATTACTATTCCGTAAAAAAGAGCTAAATTCTAATATATTATTTATTCAAAGATATTTGGAATATATATAAAAAATTGTGTTTCATCAAGCTTTTTTCTGAAGCGCGACATTAGTATATTAAATAAAAACGATGTTATGTTTTGTCGATTCTTCCCGATTCCCTGCATCGCGTATAAATCTCTTTTCGCTTTCGTACAGATGCTGCTATTTTTGCGAATTTACAATAATCTGTAATTACCAGATTACTATTCCGTAAAAAAGAACTAAATTCTAGTATATTATTTATTCAAAGATATTTGGAATATATATAAAAAATTGTGTTTCATCAAGCTTTTTTCTGAAGCGCGACATTAGTATATTAAATAAAAACGATGTTATGTTTTGTCGATTCTTCCCGATTCCCTGCATCGCGTATAAATCTCTTTTCGCTTTCGTACAGATGCTGCTATTTTTGCGAATTTACAATAATCTGTAATTACCAGATTACTATTCCGTAAAAAAGAGCTGAATTCTAGTATATTATTTATTCAAAGATATTTGGAATATATATAAAAAATTGTGTTTCATCAAGCTTTTTTCTGAAGCGCGACATTAATATATTAAACAAAAACGAGAGATGTTATGTTTTGTCGATTCTTCCCGATTCCCTACATCGCGTATAAATCTCTTTTTGCTTTCGTACAGATGCTGCTATTTTTGCGAATTTACAATAATCTGTAATTACCAGATTACTATTCCGTAAAAAAGAGCTAAATTCTAATATATTATTTATTCAAAGATATTTGGAATATATATAAAAAATTGTGTTTCATCAAGCTTTTTTCTGAAGCGCGACATTAGTATATTAAATAAAAACGATGTTATGTTTTGTCGATTCTTCCCGATTCCCTGCATCGCGTATAAATCTCTTTTCGCTTTCGTACAGATGCTGCTATTTTTGCGAATTTACAATAATCTGTAATTACCAGATTACTATTCCGTAAAAAAGAACTAAATTCTAGTATATTATTTATTCAAAGATATTTGGAATATATATAAAAAATTGTGTTTCATCAAGCTTTTTTCTGAAGCGCGACATTAGTATATTAAACAAAAATGATGTTATGTTTTGTCGATTCTTCCCGATTCCCTACATCGCGTATAAATCTCTTTTCATTCTCGTACAGATGCTGCTATTTTGGCGAATTTACAATAATCTGTAATTATCAGATTACTATTCCGTAAAAAAGAACTAAATTCTAGTATATTATTTATTCAAAGATATTTGGAATATATATAAAAAATTGTGTTTCATCAAGCTTTTTTCTGAAGCGCGACATTAGTATATTAAACAAAAATGATGTTATGTTTTGTCGATTCTTCCCGATTCCCTACATCGCGTATAAATCTCTTTTTGCTTTCGTACAGATGCTGCTATTTTTGCGAATTTACAATAATCTGTAATTATCAGATTACTATTCCGTAAAAAAGAGCTGAATTCTAGTATATTATTTATTCAAAGATATTTGAAATATATATAAAAAATTGTGTTTTATCAAGCTTTTTTCTGAAGCGCGACATTAGTATATTAAACAAAAATGATGTTATGTTTTGTCGATTCTTCCCGATTCCCTACATCGCGTATAAATCTCTTTTCATTCTCGTACAGATGCTGCTATTTTGGCGAATTTACAATAATCTGTAATTATCAGATTACTATTCCGTAAAAAAGAGCTGAATTCTAGTATATTATTTATTCAAAGATATTTGGAATATATATATAAAATTGTGTTTCATCAAGCTTTTTTCTGAAGCGCGACATTAGTATATTGAACAAAAACAATGTTATGTTATATCGAGCTGTTTAACATTCGACAATTAGAAGCCAAATAACTAGAATCTATCGCTCTCAAAATTAATTAAGCAGCCCTCAATTAATTCTCGATTGACGGAATGTAATTCAAACGGAAGCCACAGTGTGAACGGTGAATAGATATATCCAATCATTGCAATCCGGATAGCATTATGCATGGAGCAATTATATATAAATTCTAATTGGGGTCAGAAAGATGAGAATATTTTCAAACGATGCTATTATATATACACTTTTTATACTTATATAATAAAAATACACAATAACAGAAAAAAAAAAAATAAATTCGACAGCGATCATTTTTTGCAAGAATTTGCTAAAAGCATCCCTTCATAAAAAATTGTTTAGCAATTATAATTCATTGTGCAGTTTGTAACAAATGGTATTTAATGCAAATAAAACAGCACTTTTATTGCAGTTCAAAACTAACGCTTCATTATTTAAAGTGTCTTTTTATTTACGATGCAATAAAATATTCTCTTTCTTGCGACTTTCTTGCTTGCACTTTTCTAATGTCTTGAATATCAAACAAGTATGAGTTCAGAAGATCCCTGGGACAAAGCTTATTTATATATTAACTTTGCACACCAACTAGGAGGCGAATAAAAATGTAACTTTTTTTCTAACGAGAGTTTATGTGCGAACTCTGCATGACAGTTTTTGCAAATTCGCGAAAAGTTGGCGAAGTACGTACGCATCGAGCATATGGTTATTAAATTTATGTGGTTAAATTTATTCCGCTATTATTTATTGAACAAATAGATTTTTACATAGATGCCAGTACGTATTTAATCTACCGTATATGGAACAAAATGTTTGATATTGGAATATTTTAATACATGAATTTCGCATTAGAATTTATTCCGAAATATACCATCAATATCGTCACTATTCATGATTATTTATTTGATTCCATTCAATATTTTAATCGAAGTTGATAAATAACCAATTCTAGAAAGAAGAATTTTATCAAACTTTTCTGCTATTTTTGTCTCACGTGGTTTTCATTCCCTAATTAGTACTTCGCGAAAGCTATTACCCACCTAATATTTCCGCTAAACCTACTCTAACCGACTGCAGCTGAATTGCGAATAAAGACTGAATGAGATCGCTCTAAAACTTATACCTTATATAAGTATTCGTTTTTATATCTCCTTGCGTAATTTTATTAATTAATTAACTAATTGCTTCGGCTGCGCAAGAGGATTCTTCAGACCGTCTGAATTACTGCAGTGTATAAGGAGAATTGCGGAAAAAGATATAAATTCACTTAATTTTTTCGTTTCAGTTCATTAAGGGTCAATGGGTTAAATAATTCGATCCCCCTCCCCGATCATCATTCAACGGTTTAAATTTCCTTCTGTTAAAGAATATTTTTATGAATAATTTTAATTTTATAATATCGCACGTGAATTAATATTAAATATATAGTACAAAGCTAACGGCTGTATAAAGTTAATTAAATATAAAAAGCCACCGAGAATATTTTATTTCTATAACGGTTGATTTAATATAGTATATTATATTAACACACAGAAATGTCCGACATATATAATATGTATATAAAAAATTTAAAAAGATTCCGATATTTTATAACATAGCATAATTGCATCATCTCAAAGATTTGCTGACCGCTGCTCATTAACATGTATTGGTAATATTTTTTCATTAAAATTACACAAAACGTCGCATCACTTAAAGTGACTTAGCACCATTTAGATACTTGTTATCATGAGGAGCATTCGCGCGATGTTACGAAATGGCCGCGCAGAATTTTCGCACAGCCAGTTTCTAACTACTTATTCATGAATTATTCTCGTAAGTACGCTATAAAAACACATTTTATGATCTCACAGAGCGAAACTGAAGGTAGAAGAATGTATCAACTGATAAGTTGTTTTAATCATTAAATAATTTTACAATAAAAAAATTCTGTCACTTTTTTTATTTTCAGATATTTGCAATATTTCAATTTTAAAATTTAATTAATTTTATTGAAACTAGAAGTATATTACCATTTAATTACATATTCACGGATAAAATTCGTATTAAATTATATCAAAACATGATTAATTTCTAATTAAAAACCGAAAAAATTTGCATTTTTATTGTAAATAGTGAATTTAATTATTTACCCGATAATGTTATTTATTATTAATCAAATTGTGTTGAAAAAGAGAGAATTTTTAGAAAAATTGCTGAATGAAGAGATATTGTGACAAGCTTAATTGAGACATTAACAGCATCCGACATTTGATTGAAAGAATCGATTAGCGGAACGTTCAAACGTATCTACGTAAAAATCCGAATTACCTTATATCCGGCGAGTTCTTGAACAACGCAGGACAGGATGGCTTCTCTTCCCACCGGTGCAGTTACATTGGTTATTGGCTCTTTAAATTTAGGATCTAGAACAGAAAATAAAATTATGTTTTAGAGAAATGAGATTATACAATATAATTAAAATTTAACAGAATTCATTCATCTTTACAAGAAGTATTCAAATTTTTAGTATAAAAATTTTTAAGGATTCTCTTGTCGGCATACGTGCATTGATTTATTAGAAACACTAATTGTATATCGCAAAATACATATACATTTTTAAATATTATCCATCGTATATTTTGGATTTACAGCGAAACTTTAGTGAAACACACAATTTTCATTTGTTTCCAACTCAGAATAATAAAAATAAAGAAAGATAATTAAATTTATTTCAACTTTTCATTTAGATTTGATTAATGTATATATTTAAAATAAATATAATTAATTTCTGAAGTTTGTTCAGTCTTTCGTTTGGCAGGTTGATACGAATAATCCGGGTTAAAATTGTCTTTATTAATGTATAGGACAAATATTTATAGTTATCACGTTCTCTATTAAATAAATAAAATAATTAAATTTCATTATTTTATCTTTTCGGGTTTAAATATTTTTTTAATAAAAAACATTTCATTATATTTAATTTTCTTTAAATAAGAATCGACCTAATTTTCTAACGTTCCTTGTAATGTCCACTATTAATGGCATAGAAAGTACATCTCCAAACATACCTAGCGCATAGAACATTAACACCATATGCGAGATACGAAGAAATGATATCCAACGTTATAAAATATGACATAGGGAGGCAAAGGGCATCGGGAGGAGAAAAATGGCCACCAGCATAGCGTGAAAGATAAATGCATGTTTGGATTGCCCGTTGCAAATTTATCCCCTAGCAATCTAATGCAATATTATTGGATGCACTCGATGTAGCACAATGCGATTATTTCGTATGCCCTAGGCGCGCCAATAAAGTGCGAGCATCAAAACGCGGGATCATAATATAAGTACTCCTATGTGCAGACGTGGGATAAGGAAGACGGAAATCGTGTTTGCACAGGAAACGAGCAGTGATCGTCGCAATAGCGGATGAACGTAGTTTGAAATGCAAGTTATTCATAGGCAATTTGGTAACTTTAGCGCTATACCCGAACCCCGCATCAATGCAAGAATATTGACCAACTCCTACCCGCCATTTGTAATGTCAAATCTAGAACACATATATGTAGAATATCCGCGTGTAGTTTTTATGGCAAAAAGATTCTTTATAAATTGAAATTACAAATTTTCAGCCGGCGATACATCAATAAAAATGATATATCGCGGCGCGAAATTAATACGCGAAATAAAATTTAATTGCAAATTGTATGAAGTACAAATTGATTTTTATTCGAATCGACAAGTTTTGTTATATCATCGTTATTGAAGCGAAATAAATTGGTTAACTTGAATGTAAATATATGTGTAATCGTAAAAAAAGGGATTGAATTAAATTTTCCGCGTTGATATCTTTACAAAACGTACGGTACAGAGAAAGAACGCATACACAGAGCGCATAAAGAGAGGTACAATCAGCGCAAACGTACTCAATTAAAACATATATGGTAAAGTATATATATATCCTCCAATATGTATCCTCAATATCATCGCTTTCCCGATAACAGGATTGTAAATAAAATACAAGCTTCCCTGCGCTGCCACAAAAGCGTCATCTGTTTCTCCATTAACGGTAACACATAAACGTCAACATCGATCAACATGACCGAGGATATTCCTGGCGCCGGTATATTGCCGGTGTATCGCCGGTACGAAATTATTCCGGCGACTGCATTACGATATTGTCCATCAAATCTCGCCCGAGTCAACACGACAGACGCGCACACAACGCGCCCAAGTCTTTCCACGTGCGCGAGCGAGACCCATTAAAAGGTCAACATCGATCAGGAGCCAAAAATGCCCTACGGAGATTGTTTGTGGGGGATGTAAACTGAACTGGGGCGTAGTGCGTGAAAGGATGGGAGAACCCAACGGGAGGGCATAACCGTAGATGGGTAATGGGAGCATAAGGGAACCATAATTCCATCGACGGCCCGCGGGCCGTGTGGTAGCCCTCGCGGGAAATCGCGGCCGTATTAAGACTCTCTCTTCGGCGGGCTTTGATGGATCGAAGTTACCCAAGAATGGCCGACCCCAAAATCTCGAATGTTCTCAGGGAATAGACGAGAAGAGAGCAAACGCGCGTTTTTTCGGCGGACAATGAGCGTGGAATGACCCATGGATGGCTGGCCGTGTATATGTATTTTTAGTGCTGTCATCCGGGAGAATTAGAGACTTTTATTCGCGTCGGTTCTCCTGATCCACATGATTAAATAAACAAAATTAAATGGATCGTGGAAAAAAAAACCGCGACGAAATTAGCGAGTAAATATCACGGGTGAATTAACTTCTTCAAGAGACAAGTAATGTCGTATTTTATTCAGCAACTTGTTATTTAGTCAGAAAACTAAGCGCAGTAATTACTAGTGAATAGAAAACGCAATTATATCATCCTAGAAGCGACGCTAAAGATACAATATATTTATTCTTTCGCTAATGTAATGAATTCGTAATGTAATGAATAGTCAGCCTTACTGACAATGTTTATCGAAAACAACTTGGTTTTATCATATCCCTCAATTCATCACGATATTGTTACGATCTGCGTTATGATAATCGGATTTTCCATTCACAACTTTCGTCGCATTTGCATTGCAAATATCAACGATAATGTTTACAATAATGACATGTAATAAACGCTACGAACGTAAATTATAAATTTCATCAATAGCACAGGCCGACAAAATTTAGACCCAGAAACCAGAATATATTTTTCCTAAGGTTTTTGACGCGCTGAATTCGAATCCGAGGTCAGAATTTCTCTGGTGGCTCCGGTTTTCGAGATATTCTAACCTAAAAGTGCCAAAATCACGGTTTTTCGAGATATTTGAGGTTATGTTACATTGCAAGGTAATTTTTTTTCATAAAACCATTAATGGGGTCCGAAAGTACTACTCTTCCTCTTTAAAAAACATTTTGATTTGTCCGGATATCTTTTTTTATATTTGAGAAATCATATGTCTAAATTAAGTAATTCGACTTATTTCTTGATATTTGGAAAATGATTGATTGTTTATCAATTAGTTTGCAACAAAACTCATCGTAATATACCGAATTACTATTCCGGGTGAGCTTGTTCCCGTAGAATCTGATTGAATCATTTACTTCTCAAGAAACATTATTTTTGCAATAGTTTATTTAAACAAATTGTTTAAACAAATTGTTTAGACAAATTAAATTTGCAAAACTAATGTCAAATTCCGAATCAACGTGCATCAAAACCCTTTAAAAATGTATATTTCGTGTACATACATTATATTGTACTTATCTGATGCTATTCAATTTCCGAATATCAAAAATGTCAAACTACTTAATTTGAACATTCAATTTCTCAAAGATAAAAAAAGATATCCGGACAAATCAAAATGTTTATTAAAGAGGAGGAGTAGATCTTTCGGACCCCATTAATGGTTTTATGAAAAAAAATTACCTTGCGGTGTAACATAATCTCAAATATCTCGAAAAATCGTGATTTTGGCACTTTTAGATTAGAATATCGGAAAAGTATATTCTGGTTTCTGAGTCTGAGGTTCGGCCAAATTTTGTCGGCCTGTGTAGTTATCGGTATTTTCCAATTAGTCGTGGAATCGGGAGAAAAATGCATCGTCAACATCGACAATTTGGAAGTAATGTAGGCCTGCATTTTTCACAACCTTACCGCGTCGCGCTTTCCACCATATTGTCGCCCGACATGGCATTTTAAGTTATAGCCGGCGAAGCGTATGTAAGTAATCCAATAGTCGACCATTACGAAAAAAGCGAGCAAGAAAAGGCAAGCACGCGAGAGAGTTAGGGTGCGGGAGAGGGTAGAAGGGCGATAAAAAAAATAACACGAGCGTTCGTCGATGCACATCGTCACTAATGCACTTTATAGGACGACCATCAAAATATCAACGTACGGATTTCAAACACGAACAGATTGCGTTTAAAAAAAGATTATAGTTGCCACGACATTTATGACACGAAATAGCCTTTTGTTTATAATCTCACTTTTGTGTATATATCACGGCGCATAATTGGAAAAAAAGTACAAGTGTCATTATCAGAGGAATACATAATCGATACACACGTGTTTGACATAAACGTGATATATAGGAGAGACGAGAAAATACGTCGTACGATTAAAAGTTAAAGGTAAAGGACAACACGCAAAAAACTTTGTTATAAATAAAGTGACACATTGACATTTTTTCTTCCAATTAATCTCTTAAATGAGGTAGCCACGCCGTTGTTACCGTATCACCTAATGTGATATCCATCCATAAATAGATCGGCATCGGTATCCCATCTATAAATAAATCAGAAACCTGTCATTGCTATCACCCGTTAAGAACCCGCATAGCCGAGAGCCGATGAACCGTGTTAAAATACCCCCGCAACCCCGGCATTTCTCACCTCGACGACCGTGCTTTCCTCGATTTTCGTCGCTTCGGCTTCCGAGTGGAAGCGTACGAGAGAGGTCAGACGGAAGAACATGAGAGACGAAAGGTCGTGGTTCACTTCACGAGAGGAGAGAAACCTCTCTCATGCTACCGGAAGATTATTTTCACGAATGCGGGTTAGAAATTACTGACGTGGTATACACAATGTTTGCTGTAGATAATTTCAAAATTATCTAGATAAAAATAAAGATAAAAATCTGTAAATTTATCTTAGATGAGATAAAAATGATTTTGCTTTTACTTAATCTAGATAAAAGATGAGATAATTATTGCGATAATCTAAATAATTATCTAGATATTTTTGTTTATTTTAGAAGATTATAAATATTTGTAAAAATGTGACGCAGATTATAAATAAGATATTAAAATCATAAACACATATTCTTTCTTTTTTCCTAAAGAATATTTAAATAATAGCAAAAAGGTATATACATGATATGATAAATATTTATTTATTAATTTATATTTATAATATATTTTTATAA